ATCCTAAGGGCTCTAGGTTTGATCTACTTGGGTATTCGGATTCTGATTACACCGGTTGCAAAGTAGATCAAAAAAACACTTCAGGGACATGTCAATTCCTTGCACGGTCCCTAGTGTCTTGGAGTTCTAAAAAGCAAAATTGTGTAGCTCTTTCCACCGCCGAGGCCGAGTATGTTGCAACCGGTGCTTATTGTGCTCAACTACTTTGGATGAGGCAAACTCTTCAAGATTTTGGATGTCACTTCACTAAAATTCCATTCTTGTGTGACAACGAAAGTGCCATAAAGTTAGCCAACAATCCCGTAAGCCACTCAAGAACTAAGCATATAGACATCCGACATCATTTCTTAAGAGACCACGAAGCCAAAGGAGATAGCGAAATTCGCCATGTGAGCACCGAAAAGCAACTAGCCGATATCTTCACTAAGCCTCTTGATGAGTCAAGGTTTTGTGCTTTGCATAGTGAGCTTAATATTCTTGATTCTCTTAACGTAGTTTGAACTATAGCACACCTTGATTGAAGAACTAGCATGGATAGGAGAAATGAATTGCAAAAGTATAAATATTGTGCTTAAAATGTTTTATCATAAGAAACAAGTGCATTGTGATCATTGTTTATATTGATTATTTATTGCTGATCATAATGTGCTTGAGATATGTGTCCATATCCTATATATATAGAGGTATTTAGCTAGTAGCTAAATCTACTGTCCTGGGGAGTGCGGCAGTGCCGCGCCTGCCCTGCGGCAGTGCCGCACTTTGAATTTCAACTAGAAATTCAGCCCATATCAGCTATTACCATGGGGGCCCATCTTACCTCTTATTTCTACTAGCCCCTAGGGTAACTCTCCCTCATTCACCACAGCTGCCGCTGCCCCCTCTCTTCACAGCACACACAGGCAGCCGCCGACGCCGCCCGTCCTGCCGCGTCGCCGCCTGCGGCACTGCCTAGCCCGCTGCTACTCTTCTCTCCTCGCTACCAGCAGGTAGAGTAGCTCATGGACGGAGCTGATTCATTCCTTTCCTCCTCAATCTGCATAAATCAAGGTTAAACCCTAACCTAATCCCGATCTATGCCATGGAGTTCTATATTTATTGGAAGATGGTTTCTAGTGACTGCATGATTAGGGTAGAAACTAGTTTGATGGATGAATTAAATCAAAACAACGATTCGTTGGTTGAGCCTCATCTGTGCGGCAGTGCCGCACTCAATAGATTAAACTTGTAAATGCAGATGTTGTTCCATCAATGACTCTCTGTTTTGGTTGGATTTGTGCACCAGATTTGTTTCCATCTTAAACATGTAGCCACTTTACCTACATTGTAGACAACTCCATGTATTTGTTTAGGTCTACTCATTCTGAGATTGTCTAGTGGTTTAGAAGAATGTTTGAGAAATAGTCTGAATAGTTGAGAAGAATTGAATAGTGGGAGAGGTGAAGCACTAGGTGCGGTAGTGCCGCACCCTCTGACCTGTTTGGTTTAGAGTGCTTTTCTAACTCGAGATTTGAATCATCTCATCTATCTAGAGTGTTTTACAAGTGTTCTTCTATACCCCTTATGTGCAGTTTCTTATTTGGACCTATATTTGTTTGCATAGATATCCTCTGGAGGTGATGATGATCGGAGGGGGAAGAGGAAGATGACCGAGCCTCGGGATAAGCAGATGTCTCATCGTGGTCGTGGTAGGACCACAGGGGGCAGCAGCAGTGCAGCAGGTAGAGATGTTGCCAGAGACAGGGAGAGAGAGAGATCAGATGATCTAGGATGAAAACTTAGAGAGGGCTGGCTGCACTATTCATCCAGATGCTTGCCAAGATACTCCACCTCATCTTAAGGAGTTCGATAGGAGCTACATCAGAGAGTATTATGAGGATGTGGTCATGAGGCATCCTATTGACACACGTGCTCATCCCGTGCTCAACTATACAGGAAAGCTGAAGATGGTGGAGGAAGCATGTGAGAACAATCCCTATGAGCAGCCAAAGGATTTGGGGATAGACTACATGTTTTGAAATGAGTTTCATTCCAACTTCTATGCATTTGTGAACTTCAACTACAAGAAATCCAAAGTTGTCAAGATGCAGTATGTTGATTGGGAGAAGATGAAGGCAAAGAATAAGTTAGAATTCAATAAGGTGATCAAAGCTTGTGAGTTGTTTGGCCTCACTGATATTATGAGCTTTAGATATAATTGGAATGAGAAAGTGCTAGCCCAGTTTCATGCCACCTTCTTCTATGATATCTACACTGATGAGATTCACTAGATGACTGAGGGACGGCATTATAGGATTGACTTTGTGACTTTTTAGCCAGATCTTTGGTTTTGGAGAGGAGTGGGGCTTCACTTACATTCATGATGAGGCTAGAGCTGAGATCCATGACATAGCTTATATGTGGATTGATAGGAGAGGTGCAGATGGGAAGGTCAGTGGCCTAAAGAGCTATTATTACATTATGAACAATTTGATCAGGCACACAATCAATGCTAAGGATGGAGTAGCCTCTGATCTTAATGGATATGTCAGGAATGTGCTTGCTAGATTTGCTCCTGGAGGTGATAGGTTTAATGTCCCTCGCTTCATGTGGCGTGAGCTAAGGAATGTAGTGGATGATGGTAGAAAGGGGATACCCTATGCCCCCTATCTCATATTTATGATTGAGAGGGTCACTAGCTACAGATTTGAGAAAGATGATCTTCACATCGTCTACAAGATTGAGAAGACCCAAGCCTTAGGTGATAGCAGGGCTGTGAGATGCTCTCCATCAGTTGAGGACGTGCCTAAGTCCTCTCGCTCTAGGCCCCGCAAGGAAAAGAAGACAAAGAAGTTTGGGAGATGGATTAAGGCCATTTTCACCACATGCACCTATGCAGGAAGGACCGCATATGAGGATCGGTTGGAGAACCATGAAGCCAACCGGGAGGCTAGAGAGCGTTTAGGGCTGCCACCTCTTTCTCTAGTTCAGTCACCGCCTAGGTTTGATGACCTCCATAGCCTTTCTGAGATAGATTCGGAGGAGGAGGAGCAGGAGCAGCCAGAGCTTGATCCTCACACGAGTTTGAGGTCCACCTTGCAGTCCATGAGGACGAGCGCCAGGCGTGAGCGCCACACTTCGACCACTCATCGCCAAGGGAGGGTGGTGGCGTCTTCTTCTTCTTCGTCGTCCTCCTCCGACGATGATGATGGTGGAGAGGAGGACGTTGTAGGTGCTAGTGGAGCTACTGGTGGGGATGATGTTGATTGGGACACGATCCAAGAGGACGAGGAGTGAGTGTTGGTCTTTCTTCTTTTCTTCTCTTTTTGGTGCTTTATGCCAAAGGAGAGAAAATTAGAGGGGTCAACAACTTTTTGACGCCATGGAGGTTGCTGCAGCTAGAGTTATGTTCGTATCTGTTTAGAGTAGTCTTCGTTAAGTGAGAGTTTGAGAGTCCATTAGAAACTCTATTTATGTAATAATGCTACTTAAGTACTTTATATATGTGTGGGATATGGACATATATTAATCTATGCTATCGCTTGTGATACAATTGTGCTAGAATTTATATCTTTATATGTATCACATGTTGTGTGGTGTCTATTCTAATCTGTGCTGTTACAGCAAATGCGGTAGTGCCACACTCTAGTGCAGTAGTGCCGCACCCAACCGCAACAACAAACCATGTTGTGCATAAACTGTCATTTGCATCATGTTTTATAAACCTGACATAGTATGCAGCACCCCCACAGGAGCATGGATATAGGGGAAGCCCCATCACTTTCACTAAAATGTGAATCTTGGCTTATTATGCCAATTTGAGAATTCAATTCTCTATTCACATACTTAGGGGGAGGCTCTACACCCATGGCTCAAAAATCTCAGTATTTATTTCATATCTTTTGTAAGCTCTAATTGGGTTGTCATCAATCACCAAAAATGGAAAGATTGAAAGTGCAATCAAGCTCTAATTGTGAGTTTTGGTGATAATGACCACGCAATTAGAGAACTAATGAGATTTATCGAGATGACAAGCAGGGAATTCATGTTTGAGGATGCTACATGAAACGGAGGAGCCCCCAATTACAAATGTAGATGGCTTCAAACTCAAAGGAGGTTTAAATTCTTTTATATTTTGAATTTGAGTATAGGAAAAGTCATACTATAAAGGGGAACACAATGCTTAAGCTAATATGTGTTACCAAGTGCTCAAACATACACATGCATCCTCAGATTCACAGCCAAGACAGTCTACACTTCACTCTTACCCATGCTGTCTTGCGTGGTGCGGCACTACCGCACTTGAAGAGAGGCACTGCCGCAAGCCCATACACAATTGGGCAGGCCCGAATCCCATCGGCGCGCCACCTACCCATCGGCGAGGCCCAAGTCATCAATTCCCCACCTACCCTCCGGGTGAATTTGATAAAAGTTTGAGTGTTTGTTTTGACAGGCCTATTCACCCTCCTCTAGGCCAACCCCCAGAGATCCTACAACTAGGGAGCTCACTTCCCCCGCCTCTGTGACCCTTCGCCTACCGGGGTGCTGCTGTGGCCCTCCGCCTATGCCGCCGCCCAAGATGGGCTACGACATGGGCTTCGCCCCTACAACCTCTACGGGTGGGATCCACCGACGGCCACCGCCGCACCGCCCTCACTCGGTGGTGGCTCCTTGTCTATCCCCTTTGCCCTCTTCTCTCGCTCCAACAAGCTAGGCCGCACTGCCGACTAGACCCGCAACCCGCTAGGGCCCATGGCGTTTTTCCACTGTTCGGGATGCTGTCTTCGACTTCGCTGGGCTCAAGGACTCCATTAGGCTCATGTCTGCAGACGATGCGTCCTTCCTTCCGCCTCATTGACGGCAAGCCACTGCCGCGGCACCTGCGGTTCGGGCCCCGCTGGCACTTCCAGCAGCGGCCCTAACTCCCACAGCACCGCGACGAGGAGATGGAGGCTTGGCATTGCAAGGCCGAGAAGGAGTATGTCGGCTGTGACTGCCACTGATAGCAGAACCACGTCGTCGTCATGGCCGGGCCATCGAAGGACGAGCAGATCCCTTTCTCCTCCTTCTCCAAGCTCTCCATTGTTGTCGCCGACCAGTCCGAGGATCTCCTCGTCTATGGCGCAATCGAGTTCTATGACTGCGTCACCCCAGCGCGGAGCATTGCCTGTGAGTGCTTCAAGTCAGGGGACCTCTTTAAGGTCACCATCGTCACCGAGGACCTCATTATCCGTTGCCTTGCCGAGAATGACACGGCCACGGTCTTTGCCACTGACACCATCCTAGTAGCACTCATGTGTGCGCCCCGTAGCATCCAGTCCTGGGACAACGTCATTCAACATGGAAGATAATGAATCCAAACACTCTCTAGCTAATTAATACCTATTTAATAGTCCGTTGGCTAATATTAGATATGAGCTATTAGCCAGCTAACTATTAGCAGCTAACGAATCCAAAGAGGGCCTTAGAGAGAGAGAGAGCCAGGGCCATGTATTATTAACGTAAATAAAGCCAACTACCTTTCAATGCATTGCAACCACAATGATTTAAGTGTTCAAAGTTGACTTAAAGAGACTAAAAGTTGCAACCTAAGTTACCTTTGATGTCAATATAATAGAAAAAAGGAACATAGTTAAATATGTTAGTGTAAAAAATACACAAAAGTAGCTTCCTGATGTTGGCTAAGTGATTGAATATTTAGCGTGGAATATATCAAATTTTTAATTAACTTATGATGTAAAGTATAATAGGAAAAATAAAGAAATGTAGCTCAATGTTGATGGTCACTAAATGCTCAATATGATCCTCAACATGGTATCACGGTGAAAGTATAATCAAAATCATAGTAGTAATTTATTTTCAAATAATGTGGATCTACTTGTACTTGGATTTATATTTGTGTAGGGGCAAACTTGTGAAATCTTCAAGAATTGATCACTAGAAGTCTAGAAGCACGTGAGATGAAGCAGGAGCACCAGGGCCCACCTGGTGGGGTCGCCAGAACTAGCATTTCCACCGGCCTCCGGCCACCGCGTCACTAATCCCTGCCACAAGCCAATGGCCGCTGTCGGCTGCACGTACGGCAAGTCAAACGCGTGTCTTCGAAGGCGCGTTCTTCTGCACGGGAGAGAAGATTAAAGACTAAATTTTAATTTTAATTAGTCCCTTTAAGCTAAATATTATAGTCTAAAATATAAACTTAAATTAAAATATAGTAGTTTCTTCAGGGACTACTAACAAACACTATTTTATTTTCTGTTTTAGTCTCTAGTTCTAAGACTAGAGAAAAGAACACTGCTGTTTTTTTTACAGAGTGCTTATTAGGACCGCATGGCATCACTGCACTACTGTCTGTTGTTCGTACTCTACCGCTGCTGTTTTTTTTTTTGAGGGGCTCTACCGCTGCTGTTAGTAGAAACCACGCCCCACGCACGCATTTAGCACCTGCATGCGTCACAGATCTCCTCCGGCTCGTGGTTATTTCGCACGTAGGCCGTGTTTAGGGTGCGTTTAGTTTCTCCAAACTTCGTGGTATCTAAAGTGAATCTTTATAAAAAAAAGATTTAAATGTCATCGAAAAAAAAACTAATTATGCAGTTGGATGAGAAATCACGAGGATTAAACTTTCGAACCTAATTAAAATCATAATTATAACTAATTACCAAATAGTTTGCGAAAGTGCTACTGATGGCGAAACCCAAAATTTTTTGCATCTAAACACGAATCTTAGTTCCTCCAAACTTCAAAAAGTACACTATAAAAAGAAGATTTTCTCATCATATGTTTGGACAATAATTCATAAATACTTAAATGTAGATAAAATCAAAACTAATTGCATAATTTGCTTTAACTTTATGAGAGAATCTTTTGAGCCTAATTAGTCAATGTTTGAACAATAATTCACAAATACAAACAAAAATGCTACAACTTTACTAATACCCCTAGCATAAACTTTGCTCCTACCTTCGGGCTCACTAACTCTCGTGACATTCCGTCATTACTTTCTGCATCGTACCTTTGTCTCAGCTCTAATCCCACTGCATGCGCACGACCACGAGTATGTATGTATTAATAGAAAAAATTCTCAATATGCCATTGGCTAAAATATTCACGATTTGTCATAAAAAAACTCATATCCGACCAATACCACTTTTTATAAAATTTAACATCTTTCATGTCAAATGTTGACTATATTCTAATAGTCTTGGTTGACTGACGTGTTAAAATGACCTATATATTTACCGTTCTTTCAATTGAAGACAAATCTAACTAGTCTCTTTTGCGCCACCACCGAATAAGCAATTAAGCAAAAGGATTTAGATTGCACGAGTCTAGAACTTTGGAAGCATCATTTTCTTGAGACCTAGGTAAATCTTGCACTTGCGTATACAAACATATCGTCATAGAGAAGCCACAAGAATGCTGCTTAGGAACACAAGAACATGGGCATAATTGTTTTGGACCAATATTTTACATTCACCACTATAGGGACAAGAAACATTTTATCTAACTCTATATGCATCCTCTAATTAAAGATCTATCCATAGAGATCAATTCATAATCATGCCACATATACTTTACATTTCTAAACAAAGCATTCCTACACAGTCACAAGAAAAAGAAAAGTATCAAAGCTACATACACGCCCTGCAAAACCCATGAAAGAGAACAAAGCATGCTTGGCAGATAAAAAAATCTTAGTATTCCTTCACCCTCACATTTAGTTCTGTCTAAGCTGCTTAGGGCCAGACATATATAGCTGCCTTGCCGCCTATGCCTTGCTACCGCTTGAGTATGCTGCCTTGAAGGTCAGCCATCTATGAGGACGATGGCTCCGAGCAATCGTCGTCCTCACCCTGAACTTTTTACTACTCATCCCCTTCCTCTCTTCTTGTTCGGTTGTTCCTATGACAAATCATTGTGGTATTTGACCGAATCCACCGGTTCAACGCATCTAGGGCTCAATCAGTGACAAATAGCTAGAGTAGAATTATTAGGGACTCCTTTGTCTAACCTTTTCTCCGGTGTTTATAAAAAAAAGGCGTACCCAGTGCAGAGAGCTCCCGCTCTGTGCAGGGTCTGGGGAAGGGTGTCAGTGGCAAGTCTTACCCTCGCTTATGCAATGCGAGGAGACCGCAACTCGAACCTAGGACCTTCCGGTCACAGGCGGTAAGACTCTACCACTTGCACCAGGCCTGCCCTTCTCTCCAGTGTTTATAATTTTGTAGATTTTTTCAATGAGGATATCCACCCGCTCTGGCCATCCAAAGATACTTTCAAGGTGCTAGGCAACCATCTCCGGAAACCAAGCTAACAATTTCTAGCTCTATAATGCAAAGGTGATCTACCTTTTCATCACTAAGCTCGAAAAGAGTAGGATATTTAATCTGCAAGGGAGTGTTTCCCCACCAAATAGTATGAAGACAGAACATTGTACCCTTCCACTATTAACCATAGTCTTTCTTACTCTAAGGTACACATATATTTTACCTTTAGTAAATCAGACCACACAGATGAGCCACTTTGCCTATGTTTAAGCTAACCAATAAAAAGATATTTAAGGTATTTTACTTCGATTTGATATTGACATGGACCTTGATTCACTAGTACATAGAACATTTGTACTGCCAGTTCTAAACCTAACTTTGCTAGCGTTTCTGGCTTCCGCCAATGTGAAAGGCTAGTGAAATCATGAACTTTATAGGTGTCTTCTAGAGAACCACCACTATATATATTTACACCGGCGTTTCTGGCTTCCACCAGTGTGAAAGGCCAATAAAAATCACGAACTTTACAGGTGTCTTCTATAGAACCACCACTATATATATATTTACAATAACGGTTTTCTTAAGAAAACCACCACTAAAATGATCTTTAATAAATTGCAAATCGGGCTAAACAATCGCATTTTTTCGAGGAAGGCCGGCATTAGGCCGTCACACTTAATTTCCAACGTTTTTTCATTTTCACGATAAATATGCACAAGTCACTGTACCCAAAAATCAAACTCACAACCTCAGGCCTAACGTGTTACACCCCATACCACTGCACCGTACCCAAAAGTCACTTATGACTCAACAACAGAAACATTCCTCTAGTATTTACTCAACCAAATTTTGAAATGGAGATTTGAAGCCCTAAACGAATTCAAATGTAAAAAATTTCAACTGCAAAGTTTTAGAACTCGTCAAGATCTACAACTTTACTTTTGATAAGTTTTCCATCCGAGGTCATTTGAGAAATTTTTAAAAATATAAATTTTAAAATCATTAATCTTAAAAAAATTCGAGCCCTAAATGATTTCAAATGAAAAAGTAATCAACTATAAAGTTGCAGATCATTTCGAATACTACAACTTTTGTTCGGACCATGTATCCATCCAAGATCATTTGAAAAATTAAAAAAAAAATTCAAATTATTTGTAGTGGCGCTAGGTTAAGAAAACAACCAATATAAATGCATTTTACTAGCTATTTTCTTAAGGCTAACCAGTAAAAGCCATGTGTTTCTACTGAGGGTAGACTTAAGAAAATCGCTAGTAAAAATATATGGTTCATAGCTTGGGCCTACATTTTCATTTTTAGTGGTGCCTGTATATTATGAACCCCAGTAAAAATAATAGCAAGCATCAGCAAAAATCAATTCTATACTAGTGATTATGTTCCAATTTCCACCACTATTTATAGAGAAGACTAATATTCATTTTATTAATATTTTTAATCTCCAAACCACCCTTCTTTTTGCTCTTGCAAATCTTGACCCACTTGATCAAATGATATTTTTTCTTCCTGCTTTCTCCTTGCCAAAAAAGAAGGTACATCTTTGAAATATGAAATTATCTAATCCCGAAATAAGAAACTCTTAACCCTAATTTGCATGGATCCAAAATATATGCAAGTGTTCTGCTCAACGCGTTAATCATAGATATATATGAGAACTGCTTCTCAAGCAGCCATTCCAAACTCCATAGATTTGAAATCGAACTTTTTCCCCCGACGAGGCTTTTTAGTGAATCGTCAACGCTTAGATCTGCCACCGTCCCATGTTTGAGCAAGTTCTATCCCCAACACGAGCTTCATCCTATCCTCCTCTACACCGTCTTGTCTTCCTTTTCGTGAATCCATAGACAAATCACTGAAGCACTACCTTCTCCCTCACATCCCACTTGAACCATGTGCCCCACTTTCACGCCCCTGACCCGCACATGACCGTATTCGCTAAGATCGGCTCTGATACTATTTCTAACACCCCATATGCAAATGGCTCAGATCCACACTGCCACCAAACAACTTATGCTTTTGACCTAACTTCACGTAAAAGGGTTTACCTGAAGATGGTGGTATGGACTCTA